AGATTGGCCGTGCTAAATTGTCATGTAGGGTCCATGGATGTGTAGGCTGAGCGGATTAGCCCTGGGAAACGTGGGCTTTGGGGGCTGGAGTGAGGGTCTGGATGAGGTGCTCTTTGTAGGGTTGGACTCGATTGAATGGCCTCTATTTGCACTGTAAGGATTCTATGATTCTGTAATTAAACACACTGCATAAAAGCAAATTGTAACTCCATTTACTTTTGTGCAGCAGAAGGGATATAACCTGAATTGACTTTTTCAGGCTGCTGGTACATAGTGAAATGTTTGTTTTGATCTGCAGAAGTATATTGAACCATCTTTTTAATTCTTTTTCTTCCATTAGGTGACGGAACAGCTATGATGTAGCTCAATGAGAGAGGTGACTGAGCAACCATTAAAGTTGTCCAAACTGAGAACCCTTAAAGGTTTATTGGAACACCATGGCACATAGTATAGACTTGCATATAGATACAGCTGGTGCTATTCCAGAGTTTAGGTGAGTAATTTTATTTTTGTGGAGAGTTACTTCCTGCTTCAGTGAGAAATTGTTTCTGCTCTCCCTCCCTTTCTTCCAAATGGTCCATTTTAGATACTCCAATGATTTCAAATAGGATTATCATTCCAGATCAGTGACCAACTATAAAAAATGATATGGATCAAACTGCGCTCTTCAAAGAGATCATTATTGATCTCATAGGCCAGACATTTAAGTGGTTTTATAGACTGAACGCTTTGTGGCCTAGATTTATTCAAGGTCGCTGCATTTCACTGCAAATAGATGTTCTATGGAGAAACGTGATATGATATTGTAATGGCTGCTTTAACTCTGTATTGAAATTTTATTTATTTTTATTAAGAACCAGAGTGAATGTTTCTTCCTGAAGTATCTGGTGAACTGAAAGTCTTTAATAAACATTCCCTTAAATGTTTCAGAATTTGCTTCTTGTGTGTCTGCCCTAATCCCCAGGCCCCAAACCTGGGCTAGGCAATAAATTCAGATTTTAGCTGTGAGTGAGGTACTGTCCTAGAGGACGAGAAATTGTGTCCATGTTTTATTTCCATCCCTGAACTCCTTCCCTGTACAAATATGTGTGTCCTCATTTTATTGATATTAATGTCGTCAGTGTTTCACAGTTCTTTCAGCTCAAAAGCATGGATGTGTTATTTTGCCTTCATCAATTCTTCTCTTTTTGATTTGGTATTAAGTTTTTTGGTAATAGGGAAATGACCTATTCTCCCTACCTACTGCTTGAATAAAAGGGGAGGTGAACCATTGGGGAACTTTTCAACAAGACATTGGGATATTTTTGCCAATTATGGATTTTTGGCTTCATTTGGTTTAAAAGTGGATTATTTTAAGCAAGTTGCCACCCTTAAAATTATTTCTGCAACTGTGTGCTGAGAAAACGGCTCTGATTCTTTCATCTCTACATGAAGTGCATAGGAACCAGTGAGCTAAGCCAGGACGATTGATGATAAGTGATGGTATTACAGAAATGATTAATGTGCACCAGTAGGCTGGAAAGCAGATTTAAACCAGATACTTATAACACAAACAAGTCTAGCACAAGCAGCAGGGGTGACAATTGGCATCCTTCTTGTGGTAATGTTGCAAATTTCCTGGCTGTTTTACAGCTGAATTATCAGTTCCCGACAGACTGACCTCTTGGAGGTAAGTCTTTATTTCAGAAGACCTTATGGACAGAACAACTGATAAAGAAACAACTTTTTGGCACACCAATGAAAAATGTATTTACGTATCCTGCTGCCAGAAGCAGTTACATGACAAAATTCCTTGAGGCAACATCAATGTATTTCTGAGAAATATAGTAACTGGCCAGAATTGGACAGATACTCCATACCCCTTTCCTAAAAGTAAGATCTGCAAGTAATTCCATTCGTGGGAGCTCCGTATAACTGGTTTTCCTGTTAGTCATTTCATAAATAGTTGTCTTCTTTAGCTTGGTGAATAGCTAATGCCTTTTTCCTAGGGTGGGGGAGTCCAAAACTCAAGGGCATAGGCTTAAGGTGAGAGGGGAAAGATTTAAAAGGGACCTCAAGGGTAACGTTTTCACACAGAGGGTGGTGTTTGTATGGAATGAGTGGCCAAAGAAAGTGGTGGGGGCTGGTACGATTACAACATTTAAAAGGCATCTGGTGGGTATATGGATAGGAAGGGTTTAGAGGGATATGGACCAAGTTATGGCAAACGGGACTAGATCAGTTTAGGATATCAGGCCAGTATGGGCGGTTGGACTGAAGGGTCTGTTTCCGTGCTAATAGTGTCAGAGAGCCGTAGACCACGAAAACAGACCTTCAGTCCAACTCGTCCATGCTGACCAGGTATCCTAAAGATATCTAGTCCCATTTGCCAGCATTTGGCCCATATCCCTCAAAACCATTCCTAGTCATATACCCATCCAGATGCCTTTTAAGTGTTGTAATTGTGCCAGCCTCCACCACTTCTTCTGGCAGCTCATTTCATCCATGCACCACCTTCAGTGTGAAAAAGTTGCCCCATAGGTCCCTTTTAAATCTTTCCCCTCTCACCTTATACCAATGCCCGCTAGTTTTGGACTCCCCCGCCACCCCTCCCCCCACCCCACCTTGGGGAAAAAACCTTGTCTATTCATCCTATCCATGCCCCTCATGATTTTATAAACCTCTCTAAGGTCACCCCTCAGCCTCTGATGCTCCAAGGAAAATAGCCCCAGCCTATTCGGCTTCTCCCTGTAGCTCAAACCTCTAACCCTGGCTACATCCTTGTAAATCTTGTCTGAACCCTTTCAAGTTTCACAACATCCTCACTATAGCAGGGAGACCAGAATTGTATGCAGTATTCTATGGTGGCCTAACCAACGTCCCGTGCAGCTGCAACGTGACTTCCCGACTCCTGTACTGAATGCACTGACCAATAAAGGCAAGCGTAGCAAATGCTGCCTTCATTGCCCGATCTACCTAGGACTCCACTTTCAAGGAACCATGAACCTGCACTCCAAGGTCTTGTTGTTCAGCAACACTCCCCAGCACTTTACCATTAAATGGATAAGTCCTGCCCTGATTTGCCTTCCCAAAATGCAGCACCTCACATTTATCTAAATTAAACTCCATCTGCCACTCCTTGGCCCATTGGTCCATCTGATCAAGGTCCCATTGTACTCTGAGGTAACCTGCTTCGTTGTCCAGTACTCTTCCAATTTTGGTATCATCTACAAACTTACTAACCATACTTCCTATGTTCACATCCAAATCATTTATATAAGTGATGAAAAAACAGTGGGACCAACACCAATCCTTGCGGCACACCGCTGGTCACAGGCCTCCAGTCTGAAAAGCAAACCCTCACCACCACCCTCTGTCTTCTACCTGCGAGCCAGTTCTGCATCCAAATGGCTAGTTCACCCTATATTCCATGTGATCTGACCTTGCTAACCATTCCACCATAAGGAACCTTGTAGAGTGCCACACCAAAGACCACATAGGTAACATCCACCACTCTGCCCTCATCAAAAAACTCAATTAAGTTAGTGAAATATGATATCCCATGCACAAAGCCATGTTGACTATCCCTAATCAGCCCTTGCCTTTCCAAATACATGTAAACCCTGTCCCTCGGAATTCCAACCAACAACTTCCCCACCGCTAATGTCATGCTCACAGGACTAGAGTTCCCTGGCTTTTCCTTACACCTTCCCTTAAATAGTGGCACCGCATTAGTCAACCTCCAGTCTTCTAGCATCTCACTTGTGGCTAATGATAATACAAATATCTCAGTAAGGGGCCCAGCAATCTCTTCCCTTGCTTCCCACAGAGTTCTAGGGTACACCTGATCAGGTCCCCAGGATTTATTCACTTTTATGTGTTTTAAGACGTTTAGCACCTCCTCTGTAATATAGACATTTTTTAAGATATCACTATTTATTTCCCCATGTTCTCTATCTTTCATATCCTTCTCCACTGATGCAAAATACTAATTTAGTATCTCCCCCCCATCTCCTGCAGTTCCACACATACGTGACCTTGCTGATCTTTAAGGGGCCCTATTCTCTCCCTAGTTACCCTTTTGTCCTTAATGTATTTGTAGAATCCCTTTGGATTTTCCTTAACCCTAGTTGCCAAAACCAACTCCTGGCCCCTTTTTGCCCTCCTGATTTCTACTTCCTACTGTCTTTGAACTCTATGACTTTAACAACTTAATGTTTCTGTAAATTCATGAATGTGTTGGCAAATTAGTCCATTAAGAGAGTGCCTGGTTTACTCAATATTTATTTTATGAAACCGCATGAGGCACAACAGAACTCCATGGCATAAATCATGAATCAATAAATGTGTCTAGCAGTCATCCAAGTCATAATATCCTAGATTACTTTGTAGTTAAATCTCACTTCTGTTTGAGTTGGTAATTGATTTTAGCTTTGGCTACAAGAAACCAGCTGCTGCTTAAGAAGATTTCACGAAACATTTTTATTATTTTGAGAATCTATTAGGAGTGGCACTTTCAATGAAAATTGTTTCTATTCCAGTGACTATGATCCTGCTTCTCCTGATTCTTGCTTTGAAGAAGACTTGGTCCACAATTCCTTTGCCCATCTTATCTCTGAGCAGAGTGCCCTAGAATCTGAACCATCAGTGATGATTGAGATGGAAGATCTGCCTGGTGCAGGGATAGGTAACGAGGTTTAGAGCATTTCCGTATTGTTCGTGTGTTATAAGTTAATAATTTCCTCTACCTTGTGCGTGTTTACAACCTAGTTATTGTAGTCGGAAATACAGTTGATAGCCAGTGTTTTTAATAAATATTCTTTTTATGTAGACATTTTTTTTCTCTTAAGAACTTGAATTTACATAGCATCTTCAGTAGGATTGTAAAGTGTATGCATCAGAGAGGTATAATTATACCAAGTTAATTACTGAGCCGAATAATTAGCAAGATTTAAGGAGATATTACTAGAAGTCCTGGTCAAGGATGTGGATTTTAAGGAGGGTGTCAAAGGAGGAGTACGGGATGGAGTGGCAGAGAGGATTCTGCGTGTAATTCCAAAAGCAAAAGCTCAAAAGACTGATGTTGACCCGGGTGCAACAGAGGGACATACGAAATGTCAGAATCTGAGGAACTATGAGGACTTGGAGAGTTGGAGGCTACAGCAAGTTTCAGAGGTAGGAAAAAGACCAGATCATGAATGGATTGAAAGTGAGGATGAAAATGGTACATCTGAGGTATTTGGGCTGAAAGCAAATGCAAGACAGCCATGACAAAAAGTGATGGATGTGCCTGAACCAGTTGAAGAGTTTTGAATGCTTTTGAAATAGAAAGAAACCCAATCAGGAGAGTGTTGGAATAGGCAAGGTTTGAGCTGAGAATGGGTTTCAGGTGTAGATAAGCTATTGCGATGTATTTTAGGAGCAAGAGGATAGAGAAAGGGTAGGTCTACTTAAGTATAAAGGAGAGAATTTGTGTGTGGAGCCAGAGTAAATGGATGAGGTCCTTAAAGAGTACTTTGCTTTGGCATTCAGTAAGCAGAAGGACATGAACGATGGTAAGATTCAGGAGGGTTATGTTGATATTCTAGGTCACGTCAGAATTAAAAAGGAGGTGGTGTTCAATATGTTGAAAAATATGAAGATAGGTCTGTCCCCAGGATCTGTTGGGATGTATTCTAGGATACTGAGAGAGGCAATGGAGGAGATTGCTGGGGCCTGGACAGAGATCTTAGTATCCTCTTTAGCCACAGGCAGGGTCCAGAAAATTGGAGAATAGCCAGTGTTGCCCCTTTGTTCAAGAAGGGGAAAAGAGATGGTCCAAAAATTATAGGCCAGTGAGTCTTACATCAGCAGTAGGTGACCTATTTCAGAAGATTTATTAGGGACAAGGTTGAATCAAATTTGGAAAGGAATGAACTTATTGGGGTAGTCAGCATGGCTTTATGCAGAGGAGGATTTGTCTCACAAATTTGAATGAGTTTTTTGAGGAAGTGGTGACGATAGTTGTTTAGGATAAGACAATGGATGTTGTCTGTGTGGACTTTTCTAAAGCATTTGACAAGGTCTCCCATTGGTAGGCTTGTCCAGAAGATTAGTCACATGAGATTGATGGTGAATTGGTAAGTTGAATACAAATTTGGCTTGAACGTATGAGACAGGATAGTTGTGGAGGGTTATTTTATGACCGGAGGTCTATGAACAATGATGTTCCCAAGCATCAGTGCTGGGACCTCCATTGTTTGTAATATATATGCATAAATAAGTGATTTCGACGAAATGTAGATGGTCTGATCAGTAATTTTGCAGACAACCTGAAAATTGGTGAAATTATGGCTAATGAGGAAGGTTATCAAAGGATACAACAGGATAAAGATCAGTTGGAAATTTGGGCAGTGAAATGGCAGATGGAGTTTAATCCAGGCAAGTGTGAAGTGATGCATTTGTAAGAGATGAATGCAAGAGGAAGTATAATGTAAATGGAGAAACCTTGGGAGCATTGATATAAAGAGGGATCTTGGCGTGCAAGTCCATAGCTCCCTGTAATTGGCAACACAAGTGAATAAGATGGTATAGGAGGCATATGACATGCTTGCTTTCATTGGTTGGGGCATTGAGTATAAAAGTTGGCAAGTCATGTGCAGCTGTATAAGAATTAAGTCAGTCCACGTTTGGAGTATTGTGTGTAGTTCTAGTCACCACACTATAGAAAGGATGTGGAGGCTTTGGAGAGGGTGCAAAGGTGGTTCACCGGAAAGTTGGCTGGATTGGAATGTATTAGTTATAAGGAGAGGTTGGACAAATTTGAATTATTTTCACTCGAGCTTCAGAGGACGATCTGATAGAAGTATATAAAATTACGAGAGATGCCGATGAGGTGGTTAGTCTTTTCCCCAAGGTGGAAATGTCAAATACTAGGGTTTAGGGTGAGCGGGGGAAAAAGTATAAAAGGAGGTTGGCGAGGAAAATTTTTTACACAGTGGAACAGGCTGCCAGTGGAGGTGGTAGAAGCAGATACAGTAGCAACGTTTAAGAGATATTTAGACAGACACGTGAATGGACAGGGAATAAAGGGATATGGACCATGTGCAGGCAGATAGGATTTTGTTAAACTGACATCATGGTGGATTAATGGGACTGTTCCTCTGCTGCACTGCTATGTTTTCCATGACATGGGTAATGAAGGTGCATGTAGGCAATATTTGTGATGGAGGGGATATGAGGTTGAAAGTTACAGAATAAAATGAAATAAACTTTAGTTATGTTGGCTGCCACAAATGATTTGTATGTTCTGATTTTGTTCAGAAAATGTAGGTTATTTCAGATCGCCCCCTCATGCGCAATCCAAGCCCAATGATGACTGCTATGATCCTGCTACTTTGAAAGTGCTCTCCTTCATGCCCAGCAGAACTATAGGTGATTTTTAAATCTTTGATTATTCTAGTTTATTTGCATGAATTATATTTTCTATCACTTCACATACATACCCTCAACACTCTGTAAATTGTATAGGAGACTAATAAAATATGAAGCGAAGCACACACTATATAAGATACCTTACCATCACATCACTGATGTAAATAAAATGAGATTAGCACATTGACCTATCAGTTTATTTTATTAGAAGTGCTTTTTGTTTTCAAGCTATTTTTGTGGTAATAATGCTTCACAAGTTTGATTTCTAGGGCTAGGTTATCACATTGGGCTTGGGAACTACAACTTGGGCCATTTTATGACTTCATAAATGAAGGCTGTTGCCTCTACCCATACTCGCCATTTTCTGTTTCCTGGAGATGTGGCTTGGGCAGTGTTTGGCTTTTCCAGCTCCCAAAGTTGTTCCCGAGTAGAGATGACATGGGACGTTGAGAAATAGTGCCGTTATACAGCAAAAAGTGTTTTTTTTCTGAGGGTGATAGATAGTTACAGCAGGGCTGAGAAGGTTTTCTCACAAACCACTGGGTATTTCCTCCGATTGTGAGTAATGAATTCGCTATACTGAAAAGTCATGACATGAGAGAGAAAGGGAAGATCTATATGCTACAGAATTTATCCATGCCCCATTTTATGAATAGGGGAGCAGTGGCAACATGGTAATGTCACTGGATTAATAATCGAGAACCTCAAGCTAATACTCTGGGACATGAGTTTGCACCCTACCATGGCGATGGTGAAATTAACATTCACTAATAATCTGGAATTAAAAGGCTAGTCTCATTGGATCATATAATTGTTACCAATTTCCATAAAACCCCATCTGGTTCACCAATATCCTTCAGGGAGGGAAATCTGCCAACTTTACCTGGTCTGACCTACATGTGATCTGGACACACAGCGATGTTGTTGATGCTTAACTGCCCTCTGGGCAATTAGGGTTGGTCAATAAATGTTGACCTAGCCAGCGATGTTTACATCCCATGAATGAACTTTTTAAGAGTATCAGAAATCTGTTTCGGGAGGCATAGGGTTATATTGCTGGAAAATGTCCTGGGGACTCGTGTTCAAGTAAAGACCTTGGCTTCATTTATGGGGTTCTTGTGACACTATGGTATTGTCCCTGCCTCTGCTAGGAAGCCCAGGTTCAAGTTCCATTTGTTCAAGAGGTGTGTCATAATATTTCTGTACAAGTTGGTTAGGAAATATCCCATAGTAGTTCTTTCTCGTCAGAGCAAGAAAAAGGTATATGAACCATAAGCCGTGAGAGAATTAAAATACATGTGATTTTAAAAGGTAATGTTCCTAATTTGCAAAATCATTGAAATCATCAAAACAATGTCCTATTACAGGTCGTTCCAGAGGCGCAATTATCTCTGAGTACTATAATCGCACTTTAAGATTAAGACGGCAAAGGGCTCGGCCTGCTCTGAAAGATATGCCTCGATCGATGAGACCGAGTATACGGGATGTAGCTGCATTGGATGAGAATTGTGAAGAAGAATTAGGCAAGTATAAGAGCAGGAGTGAAGTTATGTGGAGATTAGGGAAGAAATATTAACTTGACTGATCTGACGTGTTAATTTTGTTAGTCTTTTTTTTTGATGTAAATTGTGCCTCATTGTGAAATCATAACTTGGTAAACTTTGTCAATAATTAAGAACATTCTAACCAGAAGCAGGAGCAGGCCACTCAGCCCCTCGATCCTGTTCTGCCATTGGAATAGATCGTAGCTACTCTGACCTTGGCCTCAACTTCACTATCCTGTCTGTTTATCATAAAACCTGATTTGTGGTATAACCTGAAAATCTGTCTGTCTGAGCCTTGAATATATTCAGTGACATAACCAGCAAAGCTCTCTGGTGTTAGATTCATCTGCATCGGGGAGTAGAATCTCCTCTTTGTCCCTATCCTAAATAGATAACCCCTTTTCTGAAGCTGTGCTCCCAAGAGGATAATCACTGCTCATTATCATCAACCCTGTCAACCCCTCTCAAATCTTGTTTCAAGAGTGCACCTTTTCATTCTGCCCAACGCTGTGTACAGGTCAGACCTGCTCAACCTTACCTAATAAGACAACATCACCATCCCAGGAATTTGTGACCATTCTCTGAACTGCTTCCACTGTGAATATTGTCTCCGCTTGGAATGTAGAGACTTAAAATTATACAGTACTCATTAATGCCTTCTGCAGTTGTAGCATGACTTGTCTCGTTTTGTACTCTATCGCCTTTATAATAAAAGTCACCATTCATTTTCTTTTTAATGACTTGCAGTGCCTGCACGCTACTCTTTCTGACTTGTGTGAGGACCCCAAATCTGTCTGTACCACAGCATTTTGTAGTTTCTCTCCATCTAAACATTATTTTGCTTTTCATTCAAATTGAATAGCCTTACAATTACCCATGTCATACTCCATCTGTGAATTTTTTTGCCATATCACTTAAACTATCCACATCCCTTTGCAGGCTCCATTTTTTTTGCATTCTTCTCAGAATTTCTTTCCCACCAACTTGTATTGTCAGAAAATTTATGTTCAATATAGCCAATCTCTTCATCTCCATCCGAAATGTGGATTACACTTAGTTGAGACCCAGCACTAATCCCTGTGGCATTCCACAAGTTGCCGTTTGTCCAACTGACCATGATCCCCTTTACAACGACTTTTACGGAAATTGTTTTAAGTTCCTCCTATTCTTTATGTTCCTTATTCAACTGATTTTAAAATGTTTTTCATACTTTCTACCATGAAGACAGATAAAATATTTGTTCAATGTTTCGTTTCCCTTTTTCCTCAAACTTATTTTTGATATATTTGTGGAAGCCCTTGCTGTTTGCTTTCATTATATTTCGCCCTAGTTTACACTGATCTCTTGATAGCTAATCTATCATTCACACAACTCAAACACAGACCTTCCTACGCACAGACATACACACACAGATGTACACAAACCCTTTGCCTTGTGTAACAATCTCTTATGTGACACTATATTGAATGTCTTTTGGAAATCCAAATTAGTGACATCTGTGGGACCCACCCTTGCCATTGCACTCTCAAAAAGTTCCAATAAAATTATCAAATGCTATTTCACTTTTGCAAACTTAGTTGGCTTTGCTTGATTTTATTCTAATTTTCTGAAGGTCCTGGAGCTACTTCTTAGTCATTGAATCCCTACAGTGTGGAAGCAGGCTATACGGCCCATCAAGTCCACACCGATTCTCTGAAGGGCATCCTACCCTCTTACCTTATTGCTGTAAGCCTGCATTTCCTGTGGCTAACCTTTCTAGCCTGCACAGGCCTGATACTGTGGACAACTTTGCATGGTCAACCCACGTACTCTTCATTATCTTTGTGACTGTGGGAGGAAGCCAGAGCCCTTGGAGGAAACCCACATAGATGTGGGGAGAATGTGCAAACTTCATATAGACAGTCATTCGAGGCTGGAATTGAACCAGGGTCCCTGGTGCTGCAAGGCAGCAGTGCTAACCACTGAGCCACCATACAACTACTTGTTAATTAACAGATTTCTGAAATTTACCATTGGCGCAGATACCAGGTCAACTCCTATGATGCTGCTTGGCCTGCTGTGTTCATCCAGCCCTGCACCTTGTTGTCTCACAATTTTCTGCTTTCTGTTTCCCTCCCTTGAATAAGCATTTAATTTTTATTTTTCAAATTTTAAACATTTGTGTTTCCAATTTGCTGAGATCTTTGACAAATTTAAGGAATTTTGAAGAGTTACAACCAATGCATCCCGTTCGTCCGTAGCTACTCCCTTCAAGACTTGGGAATATAGGCTATTAGATCCAGGGGACTTGTCAGTCGTTAGTCTTATTAGTGTGCCTATTTTTCTATAATGATAATAATTGTTTTAAGTTCCTCCCATTCTTTCTGTTCCTTACCCACCTGATTACTGACCTTTTTAAAATGTTTTTAGTGTTTTCTACCATGAAAACAGATAAAATATTTGTTCACTGATTTTTTTTCCATTTTTTAAGTTCCTCAATCTTGGGGAGGCGATGGCCTAGTAGTATTATTGCTGGACTGTTAGTCCAGAGACCCAGGTAACATTCTGGGGACCTGGGTTCAAATCCTGCCATGGTGGATGGTGCAATTTGAGTTCAGTAGAAAATATCTGGAGTTAAGAATCTAATAATGACCATGAATCCATTGTCGATTGTCGGAAAAACCCATCTGGTTCACTAATGTTCTTCAGGGAAGGAAACTGCCATCCTTACCTGGTCTGGCCTATGTGTGACTCCAGACCCACAGCAATGTGGTTGACTCTGAACTGCCGTCTAGGCAATTAGGGCTGGGCAATAAATGCTGCCTAGCCAGCAATGCTGTCATCCCATTAATGAATAAAAATAAACTTTTTTATCTCAAACTTAGCAGTCTGAAGGAAGAGAAATTGCCTTGATTTGCTATGGTGTTCTCTTAAGAGACACTCCGTTCAAAGTTTATGCAAGAAAGGGGAGTAGATGTAAAAGTAGACATTATCAGGAAAATGTAGGCGCTGGGAGTACTTTCTTTGGTTTCACTGCCCTTTAAACAATAACTTTCCGAGCTAATATCAGGTCTGTTCATTGTAAAAGATTAAAGCAGTCATATGATCTTTGAATTGTCATCCTGCTATACTTACTGTCCAGTAGGGCTCCTTATTTATGAAAAATGCAAAGGGATTCTGTTGCAGCTTTAACAAAGTAATCCTTTAAATTCCACTTAGCTCCATTTGCCAAGCTAGATCCAAAAGCTCTGACTTTGCCAAATTTCTAGAAGAGTTGAAAAATTCTACCTCATCCATGCTTGTCTCCTGTTTTAGTTTGAATTACTTTATTCAGGATTTGTACCCATGCACTCTTTGATTTTAAAACCAAAGAAATTTCTTGCTTTGTACTGTTGCCATTGGCAGCTGTGACAATTGAGTGAAAAAGTGTTTGGGGATTGTTTATGTTCATAGTTCTCTTGGTTTAAAAAAAATCAAAGATGTTCAGAGAATTTCCCCATTGTTCCCTATACTTAAAAACAAAACACAGTGATAGCTTTAGTCAGGCTCAACTTTTGATGTTTAATTGTGGTAGAAAATTGAAAACATCTGAATTCAGCTCTGCAGCAAGGGATCAAACTCTGATAAGCTGCGCTCTGAAGTTTCATGGCTAAGTATTGAATTGAGCAATCTTGTGATGCTGAAACCTCATTTAAAATACATTTTGACCTGGAACGTTGTTGCATGCTGTAAGGCACAGCCACTGTATTATCTGCTGAAGCCTTTTCCTCCACAAGATTCCGAACATGATTAAGAATTTATAAACTCATTTTCAGTAGCCAGATCTGAGAAAAGTTGCAGTCTTTTCCCTAGGATGGGAGATTTCAAGACTAGGGGGCATGAGAGGAGAGAGATTTAAAGAGTGGTTTACGAGTGGAATGAAATTCCTGAGGAGGTGATGGATGTGGGCACAGTAACAATATTTAAAAGACACTTAAATAAATTTAGGAAACGTTTGGAGGGATATGCACCAGGAGCAGGCAGGTGGGACCAGTCTGGTTTGGGATTGATGTCAGCCTGGTTGGACCAAAGGGTCTGTTTTTGTGCTGTAAGACTCTATACCTTTTCCATAGAATCCCTACAGTGTGAAAACAGGCCCTTTGGCCCAACAAGTCCACACTGACCCTCAGAGCATCCCACCCAGACCCATTCCCCAAACCCATTTAATCTACACATCCCTGAACACTATGGGCAATTTAGCATGGCCAGTTCACCTAGCCTGCACAACCTTGGACCGTGGAAGGAAACCCATACAGATACGGGGAGAATGTGCAAACTCCACATGGTCAGTTGCTTGAAGGGGAATCGAACCCAAGCCCCTGGCACTGTGAGGCAGCAGTGTTAACCACTGAGCCACCCAGTGGAAAATGCGTTGGTTTTGTTTTTGAGTTTCCTGACCTTCCTGGTCTGGATTTGTAT